TCATCAGAGCAGCAACACAGATAGTCCAGTGCACTGATAAAAATGAAAGAAAAGAGCTGTCGCGATAGAGTATTAATGCTCACCAAGTTTTCAAGCTAGGAAGGAGCCTGATTAGTGCACTTGTGGGTCAGGGGAAGCCAGTCCTATGTCACACTGGGAGGTGATGCAGGGAGGCTAGAGCAGGGGTGACAGTTACATGGGTCTCGGATCTGTTTGAGATTCTAGCAGCTGAGGTTTGATCATACTGGAGTCTATTGATAGTGCACTTAAGAACATCACTAACCAGTACATTACAGAAGTCCCGTCTGGAGGACATAAAGGTGTGGACAAGATTCTCAGCATCTGTCCGGAACAGTATAGGTCATAAATGGGTGAGTGAAAGAAATTAGTTCTTTTTGATAAACGGGTCAAGAAATGCTCAAAGAGTGTTCCCTTAGGCAGCTGACCTGGACATCATTGATCAGATAAAGGCTTGTCTGTTGCACAGTTAGTGTGTGGTCACCCACTCCTCAGTCGCAGTGAGCTTATGCTGTACCGCAAGGTCATGTGCTATGCTGAGGAATGCTGCAGTGTGCCATATTCTCTATTATTTCTGAAAAGGAAGCCCTTCACTTTGTACATTTAATTATTATGTCATATTACACTATTCATATATCTAGGATTTAAGTGTTATTGATGATTCTTTTTAGTTCAAAGTATTACAAATTTTTATTTTTTTAATATACCAAATGTGGCAATTTTTAATTTTCAATAATGTGTATTTCATACAGTATGTATTATTTTAGGAATGTTCATCTGAAACTGTATTGTGTGTGACATGTCTTTCAATGTAAGTATAAACAGTGTGGCTTTGCGGATATGTCTGTAGGCATTTCTAGTGTAATATGGCATACATTAAGACAATAGGAACAAATAATAGGTTTATCCCATGCTGAAAAGAAAAGAAAGAAAACACGTTTCGGCTGTGGAGCCTTCTTTCTCACACCCGAAGAAGGCTCCACAGCCGAAACGTTGTTTTCTTTCTTCTCTTTTCAGCAGGAATAAACCTATTACTTGTTCCTTTGCAGCCTACACATGCTGACACAGCTACCCACCTGAACAACATTAAGACAATATACCACTCTGTGGCATCTGACACAGTGTCATCTGCTTTTTGAAGGAATTTGAATTTGTGAAATAAATTGTAAACTTTGCATAATGCATATAATTCCAGGAAGTACAAATCAGAATATTCTTTTTATGTGTAAGTTGGTGTCTTCCATATAATTTTTTCTTTCATGCAGAGATTAAGTAGATACCAGTGGAAAAGGAAATGGAAAATTTTAATGGAAAGTGAGTCAGCACGAGTAGCTTCAGATTTCCCATTTTGATAGCTAATAGGTATTAGTACAACAGTGTAACTAATTAAAAAATACACTTTTTTAAAAGGTTATGGTGCATGACAGTTTTTGCACTCCATAATTTGTGCATTTCAAAATCATGTTTTGCAAACATTGGATTTAGCCTGTGGTTTGTGTTTTTCCAGTGCGGACTCCCCCAAGCGAAAGATTCTCACAAGAAGCTGCATTTCCGTGTTACCTGATAGTCAATAACCCAGTAACAGTCCTTGAGGCAGGACTCTAGGGAGGCTCTGAGAGGAGAGCTGTCTGATAGAATTAGCGTTGTTGTGGTAGTAAGATGTTTAGGGTTGAGTTGCTGCAATGTGTAGACAAGCGAAGGGGTTTGTAAGACTCTGAGTTTCAGTTTCTATTTTTTCTGAGCCGCAGTTACCCAGTGCTACACTAAAGGAAGGGGGTCTGATTTACCCCTGGAGCTGCGATACTTACAGTTGCAAGAAAAAGTTTGTGAACCCTTTGGAATTACCTGGATTTCTGCCTTAATTACTCATAGAAAAATGTGGCCTTTTTCCAACCTAGATTGTGAATGTTTAAACGATGTGCTCAGTACTGACAATTGTGTGTGTGTTATCAGTTTAAGCAGATTGTGTTTGTCTATTATTGCGACTTAGTTGAAGATCAGACCACATTTGTCTGAGTAATTAATGCAGAAATCCAGGTAATTCCAAAGGGTTCACAAACTTTTTCTTGCAACGGTATGTACCAACACATCTCCAATTTAAGTGTTGTTTTTTTCCAAGGGCTGTTTAAAGCATTTACCCATCGTTGCAGTCAGTTGACTTTATGCTACTGCTCTCTACAACATTTGACAGTTTGTTTAATTCTGCTTCCACTGAAGAGAAATCTGTCTTACTTGATTGGGCAATCTGCTGACAGTACTTTGTGACACATAATCACCATCAACCATAACCACTGAAATCTGTGAAAAAACATGCTGCAGGTAAAACAAGCGCGAGGCCATTCTTGACAGTGCTGTTACACTGTCAGAGACGCAAAAAATATAATACAATTCTTCTGACCAGTGTTCCTGTGTTTTCTGATGTAGGTGGAAACTCGTGAAGATGAGGAACAGAACATTAAATTGCTGGAAATCCTGGAGCTGTTGGTGGCAGCTGGATACTTCAGGGCTCGAATCAAAGGACTGTCTCCATTTGACAAGGTGATAAAAGGCTCAGGCTTCCTTGGGTGTAACCTGCTGTTCGGCTCAATATCCTACCTCATGCTTCCATGCTCTTTATAAACTGGAGCAAGCAAGTCTGTAAAACAATTCCTTGGGCAATATCGCCGAACCTTCAGCTGAATAACCATGAGCCCCCGTGTTTTTTTAACATTTAAAGCTACTTAATTTGTAGTGCAGCTGTACGTTTTTACTGCGTTGTGAAAATACGAGGGGCTAGTTCAGTTTACAGCTGTGTTCGTAAATCCTGCTATATGTGGCCAACGAAGTGTTTTGTACATTTAGGATTGCTGGGTTTTGATACCCCTATCTGATTTGGAATCGCCACATGTAGAAGAGACTGGGGGTGAGGTGCACTCTCCTGAAAGGTCTCGGTGGTCGCAGAGAGAGAGGGGCCTGGCAGACTGATCCTATCCTCCATTGGCAGCACTCAGCCACTAGTACCCTCGCTTGCAGCAGGAACTAGTCACAGTCAGCTAGCGCATTGACTCTGGTTTGAGCCCAATATCACAGTGCTTCTCTTTCGCTTGAGCCTGTACCACTGTTGAGCCACTCAAGAGGCCTCACCAACCATGATTTTGAATTAAATGAATAAACCTGCTGGGGGAAAAATATCAATTTTACTGAAGTGCCTTAAATAGTCATATGCAATGTATACAGTGTGGCACGGTTTCGCTGGGTAATTCCCAGCCCTTTGTTTGAAAGATGTAGTAAAAATCTGTTGACACAAATAAATCCGTATATTAATGGAGAAGAATGATAACATGTTATTACACTTTTTTTTACAAATTCCAGGAAGAAAAGGATTAAAGTTATTATACCCGCAGAGGAGGGATTTACTTAAAAATAACCTTTTGATTACTGTATGCTAATCTTTTAAAGGGTACACAAGCCTGTCATTATATTAACATGGGAAAAACTGAGTTTCTCTATTCCACATAGATGTACTGTGTGAGAAACAAGTATAAACTGTGTCAATTCTCATTACTGTTTTACAGGTGGTTGGTGGGATGACCTGGTGCATTACAACTTGTAACTTTGATATAGATGTTGATTTACTTTTCCAAGAGAACTCCACCATTGGCCAGAAAATGTAAGCACTAAAATTGCACGTTCAAGTTCATACACGTTTCGAAAACGCTTGGTGAAATCAGCGCCTAGAATGTGCTTGGTGAGATAAGCACTGGGACTTAAAAGAGGTCGCCTTGCAATTTGCATTTCTCATTCAGCTTTCCCTCGGGGCTCAGGTGCGTTAATGGGGATTTTCACTTGGAACATGGCTGTAATGCAATAACAGAGATCAGGCTTGCTTTGCTGTGTGTAATTCTGAAAGTGCTTCCTTCTGCACCTCTGGTAAGAAGTTAAGGACATGTCATGACTGAAAGAAAGCTGTAGTTCCGGTATTTAGCCACAGTATGGGATCACCTGCGCCTGTGGCTGGAAGGTTGCCGGTTCAAATCCTGCGGCCGGCAGAGGAATCCTATTCCGTTGGGCCCCTGAGCAAGGCCCTTAACCCCAGCTGCTCCAGGGGCGCTGTATAAATGGCTGACCCTGTACTCTGACCCCAATTTTCTCTCACCCCATCTGTGTGCCTGTGTGTCTCATGGAGAACAAGCTGGGGTATGTAAAAAGACAAATTCCCAATGCAAGAAATTGTATAAGGCTCATAAAGTTATCTTATCTTATTTTAATTTCTTCTGTGACGAATTAGGTTACACCTGTGTGTGGCAGAATTTACAGCACTTCCCTCCTGCATTTTAACCCTTATTTAGAAATCTTTTGAGTGGATCAGAAGATCCACAAACAGCTGCCTGACACTTACAGTATTAGGCTCTGATTCCACCGAGCTGATTGTTGTCCTTCAGGGTGGGTTTTGGAGTCGGAGTTGCTAGAATTAAATTAAAATTCAGCGCTGATGGCATTCAGAGCGGGTGGCCACAAAGGCCCTGCCTCAGGTACAAATGAATCGTCATATATAGAAATCTGAATTTCCACGAGTCTCATCAGACTTTTAAACTGTCTGGCTTTGTACGTTCTGAACACCCAGTGCAATCAACCCATAATTTGAATTCTAGTCCACCCTTAAAAAAACCCAAAACAAACATGGGTATGGGTTGTGTTAAAATCTGGGAGGCTGATGTTTTCAGTGCTTCGTCTTGCACTGTAGCTATGGCTGCAATTGTATCCTTATAAAACACTTTACTCATCTACATGGCATGGAACACTGGGCAAGCCTGTCGGGTACTTGAAAGAATTTGGAAATGGCAATGTTTTTTTTTTGTTAAACTGCGTTCTATCCTTCTGTTTCAGAGCTCTCACAGAAAAAATTGTGTCTGCTTTGCCCAAAATGAAGTGTCCTCATCGTCTGGAGCCCCATCAGATCCAGGGTCTTGACTTCATTCACATCTTTCCTGTTGTGCAGGTAATTTAACACTGGCGCCTCAAATGCACACGCGTGGGAGGACTGTTTCCTGTTGGTATCCAGTTCTGCTTGGATTGCTGTTGCTCGGGTGAAGTAATGATGGTGAAAATGCGTTACATGCTTTTCTTTTTTCCTCTTACACTGTGTTTTAGTGGCTGGTAAAGCGAGCTATTGAAACGAGAGAAGAAATGGGAGATTACATTCGCTCATACTCAGTATCACAGTTTCAGAAAACCCACAGCTTTCCGGAGGTATGGTTTGATTCAGTTGTAATAGATATTCAGTTGTATAGGTAATTAAACTTAATGATGACTGAAAAGAACCCCTGAGTGACAAATAGCATGTAAAATTATATACATTTGTATATGTAGTCCAGTCATGCATATATTGTATTCATGCACTGTACATTAATTTCCTTCATTATTACTTAGCTGTGCTGTAATTTAAAGAGTGGTGTTTGTCTGTTAATTCAGTTTTATGTTTACTAGGATGATGACTTCATGTTGCGGAAAGAGAAAGCCATTAAAACAATTACAGATGTTTCTGTAAGTATAAATCAGTAATTGTTATTAAACCTCTATTAAAGGTTTCAGTTTATATCCTGTGCAACCATGAATGCAACATTGTGGATATTCTGTTTAGTTTTATGTTCATATACACAGCTATAAAACATTCCAACGTTACATTTTTGTGAATTTGAAATAAAGTGACATTGATATGGTATAAGTGTTTAAAACATAATGTGTTCAACATTTAGCTGGAAGGCTGCAGCAATTTTGTTTTTGGGTCCTAAACCCATGTGGGCTGTCATCATTGTACTGTTGAAGGTTACTTCAGTCAAATTGCTTTTAGTACAGTGGGCTGTTACATATGCAGGTACAAATGTTGATTTGCATAAAGGCAATGTTCAAACTAAATAACACAATTTTTATTGAAAATTCAGTTTTGAGAGGCTGCCTTTTCATTACCGATGTAGGGATCCCCAATTAAAAAAGGCTAATCTGCCCATACCGTCATGGAAGCACAACTAAATCACTCAATCGTTTTGTGTATCAGGAGGTATATAAACCACAGAGGAAATACAAGAGGCAGGATGATGCTGGAAAGCTAGAAGATGAAGAATCCAGAGTTCACTCCACATTACTTGAATATGGGAGGTATGTGCCAGGTCTTTATAGTGAACTTGATGTAAGAAAATAAAAATCAGATGCAGGTTGTGTTTGATGTATACGAGGGCTTGGTAGTAACATTTATAACGACTGAATTTACTCAGGGGAGAACTGCCACAGTGAAATTTATATTTCCTGTACCTCCTCCCTTTTCACTTCACTCCTGAAATACATGTGCAGAGCTAATGCTTTTAGTATAAAATAAATTATTTGTAGCCAGCAATGTGCATATTATGCTGTTTTGCTAATTTTCTCCAGTTTCTAAATATTTGCTTCTTTCAATTTTCTGTTTAATTTTCTCGATTATTCTTTTCACGGGGGAGAGAAATAGAAACAAATCGCTGCAGGTTGGTTGCTAGGACAACATAAAGGTTAGACACGATACGTGATTCACTTTTACCTAGACTAGTATTTTAATTAGCATGCTATTGAACAGTTGTGACTCAACTCATTGAAGATAATCTGACAGGAAGGCATTTTGCTTGTGACTGTGAGATTTAAAACTCTCTTTCTGCCTCTCATGTTCAACTAGAAATGATCTCCTTCTTTCCCTTTCTCTCTTCGTCTTCTGAGTTTGTCTTGCTTGTCATTGTTTTCACTCCTAAGACTCCATGATTTTGTTATGTGAGTATATGCTCTACTGAGTGCTACATTTAATGTATTGCAAAGCTTAAATGGCTACTAATTTGGTACCTGCTGGTGTCAAAGCAACAGCAAGCAAAGAAAATGAAGAGCTGCCTAGAGATTGACATTATGAGCTCCTCAGTGGATCCCACGTGTTTGACAAGTCACTGTGAGGTGGGGCATGTGGACCACGTCGTTGTTAACTTACACTTTTACTTACTTGCATTTATGTAGCTTACTTTAGAGTGAAACACCTCTTAAATAGAAGGTTCCTAGCAAGGGAAATTAGTGAAAATATAGAGTGAATTCTTAAGGAAATGAACTTTTAAAGATGCTGATGAGAAAAACATTAAAAAATGATTCTCAGCTTCTTTTGTCATAATTTCTGCCACTTATTACTGCTATTGTTGTTTTAATATCATTTTGTCAGGTATATTTCAACATAATATAACAATATTGTGGAATATAGTTCTTGTCAGATTTGTTTATTATAAGTAAGTTAAGAACTGTTGAAACATTCCAAACGAGCAGGGGCTCTTTGGCCAGTCTAGCTCATTTTTTGTTGCTAGTAATTGATCTAAGGATGTTTTCCAGCAGTTTCGTGAGAAATACTAGAGTATCCGCATCAACAGCGTGACTGGGGATCTGGTTCCTCCAACAACCCCTTGGTTGAACCTCAGTGCCTGCTGTTGGTGTTTTTTTGTAATGCACCTCTGCCTGGTTTCCACACGCCTCCCGGTTCATATTGCACTGTTGATTCTGATGGAGCTCGCTGGGCTGACTGCGTCAGGTCACGTGTGAAAGACAAAAGACAAAAGCATGCTACTGGTGACACAATTACTTGCCAAGTAAAATTAAAGTTGGCTCCTGATGGAAGCTCAGCCAGTCAAACAGAGCCCTAAGACCCTGATGCTGAAGGTTCGAGCCTGGGTCACATCACTACGCTTTGTTGGCACCTGAGGGTGGGACAAGCTGTTAAGCCATGTTGATGCTTCCTTCAAGACACGACTGGAAGAGTTCTTGGGATCAATTACTGTAACTACTGTAAAAAAAACAAATGAATTAAATGGGCCAAATGACCTCCTCTTGTCTTTTCCTCTTATACTCTTATGTTCTTAATTATGGATTCACTCTTTATATGTATATAGTGGTTTAATGTTTGAAATCGTGACGTTCTAGTTTATGTCCGTGGACATTCATAATGTAGGATGTGGTTGCAATAGTTCATTACTTATACATTTGGTGGCTGAATTGGAAAAGGATTGTAACAAAGTTGATCAAACTATGTTCCTTAACAAAGGAATATAATTTTACATTTACATCTGTTTTTCTAGCGCAAGCCTTTAAAGAAAGGGAGAAACATCAATTAATATTGAATCTACAATAAATGAATCGTGGAATGCTGTGACATTTTTCTTAGCGACCTCCACAGCAGAGATTTTTACAGTAAACCACTTAAATCAGGAATTTGCAAACCTTTCTTGCTTTGCTTTTGTAATGTCATTCAAGCATCTCAATGTCGAATGTATAACTGATAAGGAATTTGTTAGGTTTTTCAACTGCCCAGCTTTTTTTCTTAGAATGAGTTTGTTGTGTTTTCATGAGGTTTGTGATTTAATATCTCATTGGAACAGAAGTTGCCAGGAGATGTGTGTATGCTTTTATAATTCGACAGCATGTACGTCAGTGCTGCTTTAAGCCTGTTGAAGCCAGTGCTACTAATATTGCCCCAGAAAATTAGTGATGCTGGTGAAAAGAGAGGGGAGTGTGATATTGTTCTTAATGATTGATCCTTTTGCGATGAGCAGAGAGCATGTTAATTCAATGAAAGGAGGCAAAAAAGAGAAGGCCAGTATACCCATTATTGTAGTAGCTTGTTGGTCCACAAACTTTATAATTTGTTCCTTTCACTCACATCCTTTTTCTAAATATACCTGTTTATGTCCTGCAACTTATTCCATTTCACACTTAAGATACATTTTCTTTTCCACAGGCGTTATGGATTTAGCAAGCATAGCAGACAAGACAAAGTAAGTATGTTAAATATTTGTGTTCATAGACAGGAACAGATTTTTCTAATAAATAAAAAAGGAATTGTTGCTTACGACAGCACAAAAGAGCTGTTATCATTTAAACCTACACTCCCTTCGCTGATACTCCAGGAGCTTGTTAGACTCAGTGTTGTGTATTTTGAATATGAAATATTCGGCGTAAAAGCAGCATGCTGGCACAGTGGTTAACACGGCTGTCTCAGAGCTGGGGCCCTGGGCTCAGATCCTGGGCTGCTGTCTGTGTAGAGTCTGCCTGTTCTCCATGTGTCTGTGTGGGTTTCCTCTGGGCGCTCCGGTTTCCTCCCACAGTCCAAAGACATGTCGGCAGGTTCATTGGCTTCTGGAAAAATTGGCCCTACCTGGGTGTGAGTATGTGTGCCTGTCTGTGTGTGACCTGTGATGGACTGGCGTCCCACCCAAGGTTTATCCAGCCTTGTGCCTCTTGCCCAGATAGGCTCTGGCTACCCCTGTGCTAAAAAAAGAGGTTAGAAAGTGGATGGATGGATAGTCAGCTGGAGTTGATAACCACCTTATTACTGTATATTTAAATTAAAAACAACATCAACACACAAGCCTCACAACTCTTCGGTCCTGACTCACTTCTGGGCTGGGTAGGCTTCTGCCTGGAGCTTGCCTGTTCCCTCTGGGTTTGTGTGGGTTTTTCTGCTTCAGTTTCCTTCCATCTTCCAAGGATGTGCTGGTCAGGTTAAATTGTATCCCTCGGTGGTGTGTTTGTGTCTGGGTGTGCTGGACTGGCATCCCAATCCAGTGTAGTCTGGCTTTATGCTGGGTCGCTGGTACCGTTAAGAGGTATAAATCTGCTGATTTATGGATAATCAACATTGAGAAGCTGGTTGCATGTGATTCGGAACCTGATGCAAATTACTGTCAATAAAAGGTCTTTATTTCTTTACTATTGGGATAATGAAGTTTTATAGATTAAGTGCGTTAGGTTATGTGATTTACAACTGGTTTAACACTAAGAACGTTTTGCCAACTTTAGGCAGAGGACAAAAGAGCACCATTAACACAAGGTTTGCCTCCTGGAATGACTGACGTTTCAGAAGAGGAAGATTTACAGGCTGCTGAAGAGGTATTTTATTAATTATTCCTCTGTCCAAGTTCTTAATTAGAACAATATTTTATGGGTTTTCATAACTTAAATCTAGGAGGTCCTTCTTTGAGTTTTTAAATGATTTGCAAAAGGATTGCGTCTGCTTCATTGGTATTTTTACTAGGTATATTTTTTAACCTTGTTACACAGTATATAGATATAAAGATATGTGGGTATAAAGTCCTCAGTGTAGTTAAGAAAATCGGTAGATACAAAAATGTCTTGGATGTAAATATGAACTTCTGAATAAAGTAAAATGCTTGTATATCTAGGTTAAAATTTCATACTGTGATTTATCTGAATGTTATTAGTTCAGCTTTTGTGTTTCTGTGTTTTACAATATCTAAAAAAATAGGAAACTGATAAGAACAGATTGCAACGTTAAAACAGACACCACAGAAGTAAGAGCAATATTAATGAGGCTTAGCATCTCCATAAGAGGTAAATGATTACTTTAGCGCAAAACTGAAGAAGTGTGTATCATTGTCTCTGAAAGCTGTATTCATGCCTTATTTCAGCTTCGCATTAAAACCTTGATGACTGGAATGTCTGCAATGGTAACTGAAGAGGTAAGAGGTACCATTGTGATAAACAATAATTCCACAATTCAGCTGTATGATTTTTTACGTCACTAACTTCTATTGAGAAAACACATTTTAATGTTGGTCCCTTTTTGGCTCTCTCAATTATTTTAGCACAGGGGCAGAAAACTTTCTGATGGTGCCATCCATTCTCACCTACAGTATAAGGCTCTGCATGTCTTGGCACCTCAGTACCTGTCTGAACTATTATCGCCCTGCTCCCCAGCTCACAACCTTCATTTTTCTAATTCTGGTCTCCTAACTGTCCCCCAAACCTGTCTACATTCTAGGGGTGACAGGGCCTTCTCCTGTTATGCCCCACAAGCTCTGGAACTCTCTCCCCAAGGATATCAGAATGTCACCTTCTCTAAACTCCTTCAATCCAGACTCAAAACCTTCTTAAGAAGAGCCTTTACTGAACTGGTTCCATTCTTTACCCCTCTGCTTCTACTATACTTAGTACCACCATCTACTGTCTCCTCTGTATATTGTAATTGTGTTTTATCTTGTGTATTCTTTTTATCTATTGTTGTTGTCATTCTGTAAAGTGCTTTGAGAAGCCACCTTTAAAGGCGCTGTATAAAATCAAGTTTATTATTATTATTATTATTATTATTTCATGAAGGTGTGAGCTGCTAATGAGTGCAAAGAAATGATTTGTAAAGTGCTGAGCGTGATCAGTAATGGATGGGCAACTTCTTAGTAGTGGATGGTGCTGCTGTAAGTGATTATGGTAGACCGGTAGAAGGTGCTCTTACCTCTAGACAAGAATTATTAGAAACCAATGCTGCAGAGTGAGGACTGGGTATAATCTTTGCTGCAGGAAGTGACATCCTACAGGTGGTTTAAACTGAGGTCCTGGAGATTAAAGATCCTGTGACTCGGAGAGTGTTAACCCCAGTGTTGTGGATAACTTCGACTCTGGGCATGCACAATCTGGTCTACCTTAGTAATGTTGCCCCTTAATTCCACTGGTGAAGTCGTTTCTCACTCTCTCGCTTGATCTGCTGTGTAGTGGGGCTGCTGGTGCAAAATGGTTACCATGTGTCCCCCAGGTAGGGGGCCACTTTGCTGGTCACTGGAATTGCTCTGCTATGGTGTAGAACAGATATAGGATTTGTTTATGGGTTTGGAATGCCTGGGGATGAGAAGAGTCATACAAATACAAATAGCTGTAAAATGTGAAATGCTAAAAAAAGGTGTGTCCTTAAACACACCTGTTAACGAGGCATCGAAAGGGCTGAGATAGCTCTTCTCCACTGGGATTCCATCCCAGTGTTAATTGAAACTCAGCATGACCATTGGAAAAATTAATGCTCTTTCATTGGTGGCGATGCTGTTTTGTCTGAGCTCCTGTATCTGTGAATTCTATTTAAATGTGGAATTGAATACCCAATAATATCTAGAAAACACCTAGTAGCATTGAAGGTTTTGATTGTGGTTTACAGTATCTGTGTTACCTACAGTATAAGTGCTACTTCATTATGACGTCCTTCCATTAATTTAACCTTAGGGGCATATACCTACAGCTGTTATTTGCATTTTGTAAGTCATCTGTCATTTTTATTTGTTTGAACAAAAACATTTGCTAGTTGTATTCGGGAATCCTAACTGTGTGTGGTAGGTTAAACTTGAAAATTGAAATGAAAATCTTTGATCTACAGTATGACTTTAACTGTGTTCTCAGGGGAAATTAACTGCAAGCACAGTGGGACAAATTGTAGGCCTGCAGTCCGAAGAAATAAAGCAAATGGCATCTGAATATGCAGAAAAGGTAAGCACAAATTTTCTCGAGAGTGCTATTGGAAATATAAATGTTCACTTTTACTGCTAAGGTTTGTAAAAGGCTAATGTTCTAAAAAAGTTTACGCAAACACATAAATGTAATCAGAAGCAGATGGCACAGACAGAGACTGTCAGCATTCATAGAAATCATGCTGCTTTGATCAGAGAAGTGTCAGTGAGTGATGGTACTGGTTCATTTTCAAGTTCACAGGCAGATCAGTTTTTTTTTTCAGCAAACACCAGTGCAAAGAGACAGAACAACCACATTAATTAGCAAAAAAAAATAGGCACTAAAATGTTTCTCGCTTGCTCTGTTTTGACTATCAGAAACTGAGAATGTATATTTGATGATCCTGTAAAATGTATGAACGGATTAGAGTGCTTCTACCAACCTGTCTTATTGTTAGAATAATTATTTTAATTGCATAATAAATGTTGAAATGAAAATGTGTTTCATTGAGGGTGTTAAGATTGTGACCTCTCCAAGTGGAGAAAGTATATCAAAGAAAACAGCTGGGGAAAAAGCAAGCAAAATGAAACATTTAAATTCTCTTCATGACCATATTTCCAACCTTTTATCTTCTGAATATTTCTTAATGTGATTCATATTTGCTCCCTTCGTCTCCAGTAGCAGAGATTTGTGATGAGCTGTTCATTTCAGAGACTGAGCTAGATGATATACAGACGCTTAACAATAAATTGAAATCTCAGCCTCTGCATAAAAATGAGCACAATCCCTGTGAATGATTCTCAGCTACTGCAATCAGTCACTGTAGAGCAATCATGCCGTATAAGTATTAGTGATTAAATTACTAGGTACCACTACAAAACCCAGATGACACAAAGCTTGTGAACAATGGACATTATTGAAGTATTGCATATTAGAATTTTCTTTTCAGATGTTCTTTCTTAAAATGTAAGATTCAGTTACATTTTTGTCTGTACAGATGTTGTGGCACAGAATCACAGTGGGTGGAGTGAGAGAGAAATAAATGTACATATTCTAGTAACATTAACTGTGCTCCAGCAAAAAATATATTTCCCCCGAGATATTTTTCACTGAAACTAGAAAAACTAAATGCATCTGCCGGTGCATCAGTGAATTTCCTGAGCTTGAACATTCTCTACCAAGCTCGCCTGTTGGATGGTTTAAAAATTGAAAAACCTCCTTTCAACTTTGCATGATTCATGCAGGGCCCAGATAATGCATGCAGCTTGCTTATAAATCTTGCTTATTTTACTGAAGTAAACCTTCCAAGACATTCTTCCTTGTACTAGGAGACGCTGACTGCTTGAACACAGTGTACCACGTTTATGAGAAATTTTAGCCAAAAGTCCGATGTGAGATTAGTCTGAATCATCACTTGTCTCACACGTTGAGATTTCCCTGTCACGCTCTTCTTCTGTCACTTGATTGTTGTGTCTTGTCGTGATGTGTTACGTTGCCTTGTACTGTCAGAAAATCTGACTCATTTTTTTTAACTTGTTTTGAAAATCACGGTGTCAAACCTTTTGCAAATGCGCCTATTTTTCCTTGCTTTGGCATGTTCCTCCTGCATGATCCGCAGTGTGGATCAGCCGTGTTTGGAAATTGTGGCAAATGCTTGCTTTTTCCTGATCCGCAGTTTTTTCCCAGCCCCAGACCTAGTAGGCAGCTCTGAAACCAGCCCTTCTGGTTGTGGTTCCATCTGAGCTGTTAGTCACTTATGATGATGCCAGTCATTCATTATTATATTTATACTTATGGTTTCTTGATTCCATTCACAGTCCTTGGTTTAAAAAATACTCTGCACCATGTGTATTGTTGCAACAGCTTCAGCATGTAAAATCTTTTCCATTCTCACCTTAACTTGTTTATTATAGAATTGGGTGAGTTATTTCTGGCTAATCTTTTGCTGCTTTAATCTGGCTCTTAAACACAGCTCTTAATAGATGATATTCAATTGCACTGATAAATCATTTTAGCATGACCACAGGTGGGACTGACAGTATAGCAAAAACTCGATCCGCATTACTTTCTCAGTGGAAATCAAGCTGGTTACAATTGGGCTCGCACTCTCAGAACTTCGTGCAGGTTTGATGTCAATTATACATCCCATCACGCTTTTTAAAAATGCCTCAAAAGAAATTTCTGTAAAACAAAAACCAATAGAAACAAGGGGTTCCCCGAAGTCCAGTGTCACTGACCATTGACCATGAAACCAGAGTAAAGAACTGACTTAATTAATCAAATCCCCTGCACCACTGATAACTTTTCCAATTATAGCAGAATTTATAATATTTCTAATATCTTCTTTTGGTTCTACAGCAATCAGAGCTCTCTTCAGAGGATCGGCCCGAAAGGTTCGGCCCTGTTCAGCAGCATCGTAGGCTGGTGGCATCTCTCAACAAGCAGATCCAGCAGAAGACGAAGCAACTGGAAGAGGTACCTGTGTTTGCAAAGGCCGTTTGAATTGCCACCAGAAGTTTTCTGTAAATGTCCTTCAGTGTGCATTTTGTAGGGCTCTGAATGGCTCAGTTGGAAAGGATACTTGCCTGAGTGCGGGCTGAGCTCTGTGATTGCGGATTCGAGCCTTGGTCATATCACTAGCTGACTGTGCCCAGGATTCACCAAACTGCATGGCACAATTAGCCAATCTGTAAAGCAAGGGCTGGGATTAATCAGACAGGGTTATCCCCCACCTTCTGGCACAGCGCCCCCTGCAGGCTCTTGTAACATTACATACTGTCTGGGAAGGACACGTCTCTCTTCCATTTGGTGCTGCCTTTCAGTTTGGGGCTGTGTGGCCTGGGACACGCTGAAAGACAAGTGGCTAGAGGTTGGGTGGGCCTGGGCATGTTGTTTCCACCTACTTAATGTCCCCTGGATGCAGAGACGGGTTTCACAGGTGTAAGCTGAGGTGTGCAAAGCACCATGTGTGATTCCAAATTGGGTGAGTCTATAACAAAAATAATTGGCGATTCTGAATTTAAAAAAATTACAGTGTTAATGATATTTATGGAACTTTTCATCTGTGCAGTGGTCAAGACATTTTTTTTCTCTGTGTGTACGTTTGTCTAAAAGATGGTGTTATAGAGTGGTGAGCAGCAGTCTTGTATGTACAGTATAATGTGTTCTTTCTCACTTTACCAGCTGCAAGCTAAACATGCAGAGATTCAAGAAGGATGTGAAGAGGCAAAGAACAGGTTAATGGAGGTGAGAAAATCCTTACCGAGCAGATGTTGAACCTTGTTTTTATATAACTATATAGATTGTAAATACTACTCTGATAAAGATAAAACCAGCACCTTGACAAATGCTTCTGATGAAGGATGAAGTTTCATGTTGGGGACACAGTCTCTTCGACCTGATCTCAGTTGTACTGATCGAAAGAGATTCAGATAGATATTTTTGCGATGAGCACAGAGGATTGCTGAACGTTAAAAAAAGGACTCTGTAAATTAAAAGTAAATTAACTGTAGCAGCAGGAATTTGCCCTTAGCTCTTCTTAGGAGTATATTTTATATGTTTTCAGATTTATTAAAGAAATCTCAAAATGAAACCCACTCATTTCTACAGTATTTGTAGCTTTTATATATCCCATTATTTTAAAATATGCCCTTACACAGCAAATTTAGCATTTACAGAAAAACTTGTTATCCCAAGCTGTTAAAATGACTGACACAGCTACATAATGGCCTGGAACAAATTGGAAGGCTTGTTGAAAGTACATTTGGTGGAAAGACCTCTATAAATTAGTGTTCATTTAAGTCAAATTAATTGTAACAAATCGCTCGAGTAATACAGCTGGGAGTTTAGTGTGATTGCCTTGCATTAGAGATATGCCCTGTAGACTGTAGGAACATAATGCATATGTTGCCAGAAGAACTGTTCATTTTTTTACCGTTCTTATTGATTTAATACACATAGGCTTCTAGCCTCACCGAGAAGCTGGAGAGCAAACTTTCAGCTTTGCAAGAAGTGGAGTCCCAGGCTGATTCCAGGTAAGCAGTGTCTTTGCATCTGAAGTCTCAGGCATATTGATTTGCATGAGATCTACATGTCTTGTCTAATACTGTAAGTGTTTGATTCAGTCGAAACTCCCTCTTCTTCTGCGTGAATATGTGAGGTGTAAGTGATAATTATAGAAGCGAGCCACGTCTGCCAGAAATTCACCCCTGTGAAGTCAAAGTATGAACTGTTTTCTCACTGTGAAGACACTACAGAATATGGGCAGGGTAGATGTGACTGAACTTGTTCCATCTGGCTTACCAGTATTTTTCTCTGTTTTATTTCTACTTTCATCATAATTTCATAAAACTGCTGTGGCCCAGGTTTCTGATATGGTGGAAATAGCAATGAGTAAAAACTGGTGTAGTGTGTTGCAATTAATTAGAAAAGGAGGGTTGATTTAAAAAAAAAAAAACATTTCCCAAACAGCCTTACCTGTCTTGATTAACCCATATAGCGTCATCCAGATAATGCAGTGAGTGTAAAAGTCTGAGTAGGGAGCTGTGTCAGCATGTGGAGGCTGCCAAGGAACAGGTAAAGGTTTATTCTGTGCTGAAAGGAAAAGGAAAGGGGGACAAAACCTGGACTGAAGAGTGCTGGGTATCCTGAGTGGGCAAGATGAGCAGATCACAGCTCTGGGTCAGAAAAATGGAGATGGGGAGATTCCACTGAATTGCCAGACTTTATGCGGATGAATTGTAGCGATATGGGCGAACATTAGAGAGGATGAGAGATATCCTGAGGGCACAGCTGGGAAAGAGGGTCTTATACTGTCCTTTGAAGACGTGAACGAAATGAATGAGTTAATTCTCTTTGGGAAATAAATGTCACCTTTTGTGACTCATTCATGAGTTTGTCTACATTTAGACAGTGTGTGACATGATATATTATACTTACAATGAATTGCTCTTCAGAACAGTAGTAATTCAGATGGCATTACACAAACTTGTGTAAGTAGTGAAAATCTAATTGTGTGGCAGCTTTATGTTTTAAAATGTTGACGCACAACTGAAAATAATGTGCATTTATTATGTTGTGATTTTTGTAAATACTAATTTGGTTTTTGTCTTTATCTGTAAGTTGAAGGAAATTGGATGCATTGTATTTTGCTAAATTAAAACTACATCAAATTTAAATTAAAGCTTGCATCAAATTAATAATAAATTTTGGTCATTTAATAGGGAATCTGTAATTTTAATGTCAGTTAGTTTGATAGGGTTAATCGTTAGTTTTCCTTCTTAGTCAGATTTGCTTGTCCAGTCTACTGATGAATCTGTGGCTCGTGGTCTTATTAAAATCCAGAGATACTGCACGTTTCTTGGAGATGGAAATGAATAGCTCTGTTTCCTTCAATGTAAAATCTATACTGCTATGGTCCCAAGTGACGGGAGGCACTAAGATATGGAGTGCAATCAGACAGAGCCAATTAGACTATAATATAAGTAGAAATAATACATGACTAGGCACAACAAATATTATTAGTGGGAGGACATGTGGGGAAGAGATGTGCCAAGAGAAGTAATGTTATTTTTCTCTTCACTTGTAGCTGATTATGGTTCCTCGGGTATGGATAAATCTTAATATAAAATACAGCCCCCAGACAACATGGGGTTTGAAGTAGGAATGGAAGGCATGTATTGTTCTAGATCTGCAAGAGACCTGAAAAACAGAAGCATTGTCTTGCTGCCTTGTGAGCCGGCGAAGTTCCGATCAGACATCTCGCGTGCCGGCGCCAGCTATTGCAATGATGAAAGGGTCAGCTCAGCAAATGACACAGCTGTTGTAACAACATGTCAGCGAGTGAGGGATCGGGCCAAGCAAGGCTGAGCGCAAAGAAACCATCTGCTCCAGCCCCCTGGCAGCCCTCCAACCTCTAAACCTGATACTGACAAACCCGCAAATCCACCCCAGGGGGCAGCTGAGACCTGTAGTCTTAGACAGCTCCAGTTGACTCCGTCTGAACAGCTGGAGAGCCAGCAGCGACCCCAGATGGGTCTGGATGTATCGGCGAAGGGTTGTGCTCTGGAATTTGCAGCAAATCCCCACCATCCTTCCCGGCTATCAAGGGAAACAGACCTCCCAGGAGACAAAATTCAAGCCTGCCTGATGGAAGGAAATGAAGGTCTTCTGTCCTCCTGGAGACCTGCGCAGATTTCCTTCATGCCTGCGGTCACATGCACAAAAAGTAAATCTGCACTTTGCACAGGAAATCCATTTCATATTTAACATGATATGATATGGGATTAAATGCAGCGGCAGTACATGCATTTGTGTGGTACTGAAGACTAAGTTCAATAACTGTTCAATGTTCTCAAACAAATGCTGCACCTTAAAGGCAAATGTTTCTTCTGTGCAGAAAAGCAGTCAGAAAATTGTTATAACAAGCAATTAAATGAAGATGAACCTGGGGTTTACAGGCTGGAGTCAATTTTACATTCAGTCATGTTTTTTATCAATCGGAATAACAAAGAGTTTTTTCTCCTTCTTCCACTGTCATCTCCAATCACCGTCTTTAACTTCTTTCACAAATGAATCATCAGTACAGTTTTTGAAAATACAGTAGAAGCCCACAGGCAGTTTAGATTTCTAGCATTTGGAGGACAAAATGTCAAGAAACAGTTTAGTTTTTTTTACTAGACCGAGTAGGGCTATGGGTAGCAAGAGAAAAGAACAAAGGAATATCAGAACTGGACAGGATCTTGTTTTAAGTGATTCTCATTAGTCCTGTCATGACATTATGGAGTGCTGAAGAATCAAAACAGCACTCCAATAATGAGAGTGAATAAATAGGCAAATGGTGATAATCTGTCTTGGTTCTTCAGAAATCATAGTGCTGAGTTGTGACTTTAAAGGATTATTGGGAAGGAACATTTTAAGATGCTTAGGTTCACTTAAGAGCCCCAGAATAATATCTGGTATCTGGAATTGTTTTATTGAAAATCCAGCCTTTGGGATCTTCACAGTGCTGACAAAGTGAAGGGTGAAGCATGGTGTAATCTGTCATCCCAGTTAAGGAAGAAGCAAAAGTGTTTTATATAGACACTTACTTTGGGACCAAATACAAAAGACTGATATGACAGAATGGTGTAACAGATCATATGGTTTTAATCCTTTGCAGATGTCCACTGTGTGTGTGTGGTTTTGGTTTTCAAAGTTGCACTTCAAAGTTTCAAGAACACCAAGGGACCTGAAAAACATCAAATAAAATCTATACTTTCCTCTATTCCTACTTTTTTTGCTTGTACCGAATAGAGTTTGTACAGCAGTTGTTTCTGTTTTACCTAGATCGGTTTGTTTTTGCTTAGCCTCAGGTTTTTGAAATGTGGTAAATATGTGTGTGTTCTTGTCTGTCTTTCAATTGCTCCAGTGTTTTGCAGAAGCTTAGAGCTTTGGTCTCTATGAATGAAAACCTGAAAAATCAAGAGCAAGAATTCCGCACGCATTGCAGAGTAAGTGCAGAGAAGCCATAGTGTGAACTAAAGTTTCTGTTGTGCTTTTCGTTTGGTTTAATGTATTTTTGTACTCCTAAAACACTAAGGGTCTACGTAAGGTCATTAGTTGCAGATTTGATTTTCCTCTGTGTCGGTTTTTGGCCCAACAGTGTCACCTTTTTGTCTGTCCTGCACGATGTTTTTAAAGGCTTTCTTTTTCTTTAAAGGAGGAAATGGCTCGTCTGCAGCAGAATATCGAAAACTTGAAGATTGAGTCGGGAGATGAGAACGATGAAGAAAAGGTAAAGGAGAATGAAATGACACATTTGCGAATGTTGGTATCTGTCGAATGAAGAATGTGAGCTGTTCTGAGTCGATCTGTTAGAACAGATTGAATTTGAAAAAATAAACGTTGAACCTTGAGGCTTAAATTCAAATGATTAAACACTTAAATACCCATTGTTTCCTGTGGGAATTTAATCACCTGAGTGTTATGAGTGTAAGGCTCCATGTGGGCCTCACTGAAGAAGAAACATATGTACATACTAGACAGCTGGGAACTGTCTCTTCACTTGCAATATCCACATTTAATATGTAAGTAAAATAGGTGTGACAAGTACATGGCGGTGTCCAAATAATTGCTTGGACTGTTATTTTCTTAAAATTGTATTTTTACTGTTATTTTTACTAGTATGAGCTAGTTATCAAATAAATCCTTGAAAGTACACCTTAACTCTGTTCTGTTTCTGAACGTTAATGATGTATTTATAGGAACGAATCCAACTGGTTGAAAAGCAGTACAACACAGACAGAGAGAAGCTCCAGAAGATCAGGCTCCTTCTGGTAATCACTTAATTCCCTTTTGTCTCTTTTTTGTATTTAGAGTTTGGACACAGAAACTTAATTCATAACTACTGTCAGCAGTGGAGTTAATTGTTATATAAATGTAGTTGTGAGGCTGGTTAATATTTTATTTTGCAAGGGATGAAGGATGTGTCAGTGCATCTAAGATTGATTTGACTTTAGGTTGGGATAAGATTTTGTGCTTTTACCAAACTTAACATGATTCCTTTTCCCTCAACACCTCAACAATTTATTCCTGCTTATAGATTAAATCACTAAACTACCCTGATTGTGTCTGAAGAAACTGAGCACAGTGATATCTGACTTGTTAGAAAAATGGCCGTTCTTATTCCGCTATTTATTATTCTGATAATTCAGCTTTAGAGCCATTTATCTCTGAGATTATACCTGCTTCTCAGATGTTTATGAGCTCAAGTTTGAGCTGAGAGGACATTAAACAGCCTTCTCTCTGGAGTCTGAAACGGCAGTATTACAGTTTTTCATTTTCCTTTACTCTTCTCCTATGTTGTTCATATCTCAAGGATCAGAGCTGCTATTCACAGGTCACCAGGAGTACGATGGTTTAAATTCTTAAATGGTTTAAAGTCTTAAAATACTTTGCTAAATAGCGCATTTTTGTTTACAGTTAAAGAGTATGTGGTTAAATACTAAGTCTACCACATTTTTCTAGAGAAATTGTACGCTGATCTCACGTTTCACTCAATGCATGACATTCTCAGAATTAATGTTTGTAATGGGTCAGCAGGTGCTCCAAATTCATTCTTTCAATGCATCATGACTTATGCGCTTTCTTTACTGTAAATGCATTCAACAAGACTAAAAAGTATTTGACTTCATGTTACTGCTTGCCTTCAGGCCCGCCGGAATAGAGAAATTGCTATACTGCAAAGAAAGATTGATGAAGTGCCAAGCCGAGCTGAACTAACCCAGTATCAGAAAAGATTTATTGAACTCTATGGCCAGGGTATGTACTTAAACATCTGCTTTGTGTAATATTTCGGCAGGAATATTTTTCTTTCCTGAGTTGTAGGAAAATGTAATTTTGCGGTTTGATTTCCCCCTTGCTTTCTATTACCAGTCTAAAGTGTTGTTTTTTCCAACAAATGTGCTATAAGTATGATTTCATTCTTTTTGATTAACTAGTGAAGAGAGGCTATTAAATGTCAGCGAATTCTCTTGGCAGCTTGCCATAAAATTGGGAACAATTGTTGCATTTTTTTGCCTTAATTTCTCTAATCTACGGTGCTTTGTTTCCCTGCTCCAAATCAGTTTCCCTTAATTTTTTCAATGGCTCTTTAAGAGCTGCACGTTGTTTCCATGACACCTTTGCGAACCTTGTGTTCCCAATAAAAACGATTGTGGCAAACGAGTAAAGTATATGTCTGCTTTGCTGAGGTATCATAGTTTTATATTTTTATCCTGGTTGTTTTTATAGCAGAGCCCAGAATTTCTTATTATGTCAGCAGTTTGATTTGGTTGAAGATTACAGTCAGTTTTAGGTCCTTTTTCAATGTACAAGGAAAAAAGGTTGGTATTATAATTTATAGTCAGATTTCTTTAATGCGTCCAAAGAATTAAAGACTTATTTTTATTTTGTATAAGTTTTAGTTTAAAAATGATTTATACCACTAAAAATGCCACACTTATTTGGTGTGGTAATTCATTGAAATTATAAATGTTTATCATTTCTAATATTCATTTCACATGTTTATTGCTCACATTTAGGCTTACCCTTAATGCTTTGAAAAACCATTTAACTAAAAAGAGTATTTTTTGTCAATAGTTGCAGCAACGCACAAAGAAACCAAACAGTTCTTTACGCTCTACAATACATTGGATGACAAAAAAGTTTTCCTAGAAAAAGAGGTAAGAATTAAAGTGATAACAGAGTTTGTCTTTACAGCACTTCCCTGGATTAAGTGCTTATTGTTCGGGTATTTATCTCTCAGTTTTCTTGATCTTCTGTGAGAGCAAAGCACCCTGTTCGCACACTTTGAAGCTTATCCATATTGTTTATAACAGTGGCTTCTCAGGAGCCATTTCATCAGTTCCACAGAAAAACCTCGTCTATCATTAAGAAGAAATAAAAACACTAGCAGCCTTCAGTAAACTGGTATCATCAATTGCGTCACGAGAGCTTATAAATGGACGGTCCCTAGCGATCGTGTCACGGATATTTTTATTTATGTGTGTGCAGGTAATGAAAACCAACAAGGGAAAAAACACCTGGGTTCTCTCCAAAACTCCTGTCTGGATTTGAACATTTTCTTAGCAAATATTTTAAATGTCATTTTCTTCAAAAAGGCATAATACGTGCATCATATTAATTACTTGACACTATTAAATGTTGCCGTGGTTACATTCAAATCAGCATGTGAAGCTGAAGTATATTAAGTTAGCTAATTTTTTTGACAAATTACCCTAGTGCCAGGCCAGGTCTTGCTTGTTTTCCAGTCATTCAATTTGAGAAATCTTAATGTTGCCTTTATTTCTTGATTTCAAATGTCACTGAGGTTGTAAGGCAATGTCAGTTTTAATTTAGAATCATGTAATCATTTAAAGGTTTAAGTTTGTTGTATTTTATTAAACAAGTATTAAAGTATTTTTTTTTTTACTTATTCATACTCTTTTCTCTAGGTTAACTTGCTAAACTCCATTCACGACAACTTCCAGCAGTGAGTATTAGAATGATATAAATCTGTTTGTGAGCCTGAAGACTTTTGAATCCATTCCATCCCTGAAAACACAAGTTAGAATTTTAGTATGATTTCCTGAATTCATGAATAAAACTAAAATCGTGTTATTCACACATTTTATTTTTGGTAATTTAGCCATCTGGTTGTGTTCAGCACGTAAAGTCCTGCGGGTGCTGTATAGTTGGGATTGTGAATAATATTTCATATAAAATGCGTGGGTCACTAGTTTAGATCCCCAGTGTATGTCATTATGAATTTTGTTTTTCAGAGCTATGGCATCTTCTGGAGCTAAAGAACAGTTTCTGCGACAGATGGAACAGATTGTAGAGGGAATTAAGCAGAACAAAATAAAGGTAAACAATCTGCAGAGTGACCCCTTTAAATCTGATTATTTCACTTATGATGAGATTAAAGGTTGTGAAATCCTTAATTAGATGAAACGGAACCGCAAATCTCCCATCTTTTTATAATGTACAGTCACCAGCGTTCTTAATAAACTGCTCAGCGAACAGGTTGATGTGTGTGTGGATTGTCCTGGTACCGAATATGGCTGGGGGAGAGGTTTCTGTGCAGATTAAAAACAACACAATTAACAGCAGCGGTGAAATACTGAAAATAATGAGAAATTGCCTCAGTGGCGTAAAATAATTTTATTTGATCTGTCAGTCAGTTTTTCTTTTCCTCAGTAAAACATGGTGCACATATAAAGGCAGTGCATTTTTATATTGCTCAGACATTAGGAAATTTCAGTCTACAATTTGTTTTCATTTTGCTGTCAAGGTCATCATTTGAGAGAGAACTTTTTTTTGTAAGACCTGGTTAATGCCATTCTTCTACGGGTCGCATCAGAGTGAAGCTGCATCAGAAATAAATATTTAAGATCTGAAGATAAGATTTGCTCAAATCTTTTGCGTGCAAATTCCCATATTATGCATTAACCACAGAAAAAGCCCAAACAATATATGGTAGTTGGTCTGCCGCACAATTCCTGGTGCAAGAAAATATTTGCCTTAAACGAAATAATAATATGAATTAAGTTGGTCTTGCTGCAGCTGGGCATTCCTAATGTGACAAATTGTTTAACATTTAACGTTTGAAGATCATTAGTCAACATTTTCCCCAAGGAAATTAAAATAATGTTTTTAACGTAGAATGGAGCTGTAAAGCATGGTAAGTAGAGCATTCATTGTAGATTTATGGTGTATTATCTCTTTCTGTCCATTATGGATACATGTATAATGATGCCTTCCAGCAACGAAGAGGATATATTAGGGCTTGGAAGGTTTTGAGTTTTGCCTTTGGACAGAATTTATAAATAATCCAAGCTCGATGATAAACTTCTCAGTAGTCTTAGATTGATTGTTTTTTTGCATGTAAATGCTGTTAGTTGTCCATTAGAGTCAAAGTAATATTTAAGGAGCCTTCTCCCCCCAAAAAAGTTTGTCTAGAGAGTGAATAATGCGATTAGGAGACCTTTGTGTCAAGTCCAAGTTTAGACTAGAACCATGAGGGAGAGCAGTTCTGACCTTTCAGATCCCAGGGAAGAGAGAGAGAAAATTGCTGGAGATTATCCTGCCTCTGCATACCACATTGAGAGGCCAGTTGGGATAAGTCCTTCCCTTCAGGTTCCAGGAGCTTGGCAACATCCTCAGCTTCAGTTCAAAGAGCTCTGTAGCTCAAAAACAAGATTGGGGCACACCTACAGATGATCAGACCTCCTGAGCTGCAGGGCACTGCAAGTTTGAATTCGGAACGGGGGATGAAATGAGTAATGATCCAAACTGAATTGGAGACCCAAATACACCTTGTTCTTTCATGCATGGGTGTATAAAAAATACATCATCAGACAATTGTATTTGTAAAAATACCATTCAAAAAGAGGCTGAGGGAAAACCGAATACACCCATCTCATTTTGAAATAAAGCTGCATTTCTTTGGCATTTTCATGTTGTGCATTCTGTATGGTTAGAATTTATGTGATTTCAGCAAACCCCACACATTAAACCTACTACTATGAAATCTAACCCATAAGGGGAAGGAAATTCCACAATTTAGGTAAATGAAAGAAAAACCTTTTCCTCATTCCGGTTGAGTTGACAACAGCTTTCCAAATACTGCTTTTTAGTTTAAAGGGCATGAGCTGAATTCTTTAAAGACTACATACTGTACATTGGGGGAGCTGGATATGTTACTTAACATTTTTTCTATAATTATCCTGAGGAACAAAACATTATAATTTGGTTTACCACCATGCAATGATGTGATGAGAACAAATGACCCATAATGCAAACTTGACAACAATTTTCCCTGAGCAAGAGCTAATCTGGGATCAAAAGACAAGTTGTTCTTTTACTGTTACAATCTGTCCAGTTTTTGATGGATAGTTTTGCTAGACCAGAAATGTTTTCAGAAATAGACGGGTAAGAGATGAATGCCTGGATACTTAAATACTCAGTCCTGCTGAAGGATACCTAAACCATGATGAAGGATTAAAGACTTGAATTATCTTTATAGATTTTTGGACTGAAAACATTTGCTGGGCTTTTAATACCATTCAACAGTATCTATTTAATTTCAAGTCAGTTTTGATGCGGTTTAGTTTGAGTAACAAAAATATAAAAGAATTGAAAACAGACATAAAAAAAATCCCAGATAGATATTTTCACAAACTAGAAAGTAGAATGTTATTTTTGCTTGTAGAATACCACTTCAATCATTGTATGTTCACTTAGTCAAAACAAAATCAATAATAAATACAGAAATTGTAGCCCGAGATTATTTCAAATGCATACGAATGTTTACTGAGGTGTGTAAACGGGCATGTCTGTTCAGTGAAAGAAATGTGGAAAACGGTTTAAATTAGACCACGTTGATTGCACGATTACTGAGACCGTGATATGTTGACGTTTAACTTCAGAGACTCTTAAAATCCACTTACAACAAGCCACAGACTGTGGGAAAGTCTATTAAAAAATTAAAACACGAGGCAAAAAGTTTCAAAAAGGTGAAGTTGAGAACAGGCTGCCCAGCCTAGTTTTTAACACACTGAATGAGCTGGATTACCAAACAAGTCAGATGGGCCGAATGAAACAAGTGTGTTTGTATATGTTCTTCTGATGGAGATCCAGTGGATTGTTTGTAGGTCCTGTTGCAGTTAATCTGTTAAAACTTTGTGCTTTCAGATGGAGAAAAAGAAGCAAGAAAACAAAATGAGGAGAGATCAGTTGAACGACGAGTATCTGGAATTATTAGAGAAACAAAGGCTGTACTTCAAGACTGTGAAAGACTTTAAAGAGGTAAGACTTTGATTGAAATTATAGGCCCGGCTACTTCAGCATCCCTTTTCCTATTTTATGATTATGATTTCATGGGAGTGAAGACAATAGCTAATAAAAGTGTTAAAGCTTAATCACATGTAAAATTTGAATATTTTTGAAGGACTCATAATCATGACCAATTCAAAGTCAGTGGCTCTTTGTTAATCTGAAATATTCCTTATTCTAAGTATTTGCAGTACAGATCCTCAGTGAAATAAACAGTAATAGCAGAAAAATGAGTTTAGTTTATGGAGTTAATTTAGTTGAGCTGTAGAATCATAACTGAAATGTACTGTACTGTAGTTGTGAATGCAGAAATATCATCTTAAAATGGTAAGGACATATGCATCAAAGAAGCAAAGAACACTATTTTAAAGCTACTATAGTAAATAGCTTCCGAAAAATCCCAAAGGCAAAACTTTTAAGACTTTAATTACAAAGCACTCGTCAGATGCTTCATTTGGAGGCTGTCTTCAGTGGTTTAGTTATATAAAATAGAAACTGTTCCAATACTGTTTAATCTGAACTTTTTCTGCCTAACATTTTTATACTATTGACAGGTCAGTTACAGAGCTTTTGTTGTAAGAGCAGAATCAGGCAGTGTTTATAATTAATTTTTTTCTCTTTTAAAATGAAGTATTTTCTGTAGTATTCTGACATGCATTTAATGGCTGGAGACAGGAAAATGTTCAACTATACCACACCACAAATAACCAAAATTACTGCAGCTGCTTTTGAAGTGTTGAAAGATATTTATTGTTTTATTGTTTCATTGGACACTTACCTTCATGACAGTAGTGAGCAGAAATGTGTTTTAATTATTGCTTACAGCTATATTGATTTACCAGTAATATGGCCAAATAATGATTGTAATAAACTAGGCAGGCTGCAGAATTTCAAAAGTTGTAGGCAATGTAGGCCTTTTTCAGCACATGTATTCAATAGGTATAAAGTGATATTTAGAATGAATATTTTATTTCAAGATTGACATTAAACTGTAAATAACACCTGCATCTCTTTCACTCCCTCTCAGCTTTCATATTTTTCTTATAATATGAAATTGATGTTTGTCTTTTAAACAAAATATCAGGCATCCAGGCTTCTTGAATCCACAAGCAGTTAATAGTAGTCCACAAGTAGAATTCTCAAAGCTGTATGTACAGTATGTGTGGCATTTTGTTTCTGATATTTCCTTATTCAAGCTGAAGACTGCAAGAACACTAAGACCAGAATTTTTCTCACACTGTTTGTTTTATGTTTTGTCCACAGGAGTGCCGAAAGAATGAAATGTTGCTCTCGAAGCTGCGCGCAAAGGGTGTGTCCTAGACACTACAGCTGAGCAGCATTCTCGCGTACAGTGGGCTTGTCCTTGTAGGCAGAAGAGCTCTACTTTATTCTGCACACTAAACAATTATTATTTCTGATTTGGTTGTATAGCACCTCATCCTCATTTACAATTTCACCCACATCAAAGAGCATTTTGTGTCAGGAAAAGGTCTTAGGAATATTAGTTCTAGGTGAATTAATTCTACATCAACAGCGAGTAGAGATGTAACAGGGCTCAGGGCACTGAGCATGTCACAGAAGTGATGTCATCCTTTTGAAGCCCAGACAGTGTCGAATTCTTCTACGTTAGATGGGACCGGCCTGCCTTTTGATGAAGGAGAGTTCTCCGCTGTCTAGGGAACAGCCCCGCGGGTGGCCATGATAGGATCTCGGCACAGGCCGAGTGGAACAGCGTCCTCGCGGTGGTTGCGGAGGAGCACATATCTCATCTTCCACATTGGGTTTCTTGTTTGGCTTTAGGTTAATTTTCTGGCTGAACTGAATTAGTATCCTGATTAAAATGGTAAATGTAACCATGGAGCAGGCCGGGCTTTACTAGTGCAGTAAGGTACAGTGAGGACAGCCATCTAATTTCACAATGTGAACTAATGTGCACAGTAGAATTACATTGTGTCTGTTTTAGCGGTTTCTCTGCCTTCTCTGCCAAATTAAATTACTAAGTTAAAAGGATAAGGAAAGTCTCTTTTATTACTATACTGTACAGGAACAGGAAAAATGGTTTAAAAATAGTTTGTCTTTGGTGTACATGCAAAGCACTTTTTTTAGCTTTCCTCAGACGTTTGTAGATTAAATCCTTGATGTTAAATTCATGCCTTTCAGAACTGCACAGTGCAGGGAAAGCAGACCTACTGTTTGTCAACAGCTGTAATGCCTTTTTTTAGAATTTTAACCCATTCTGTGACTGCCATTCTTGAGCTCCCGGTCTTGGGTCTTTAGGGTTCAGAAGCAGAACAGTCACAATGGCAAATACAGAATGAAAATAGTGTTAAAGTTGAAAGAGGGGCAAACAAGGAGCAGAATCAGAGCACCTCAGGATGGGGAGTATTGAACCCAGTTCTTCATTTTCTCTTCTTTATACACAAGGAAAATACTTTATGCTGCTTGCTGCTCATGAGACACTCAATTTTTATGGATTTCAGATTTTTACAGTATTGTGGGAACATGCATTTAACCAAGCAAATAAAAGTAAACTACAACCTCCCACTTTTTTGGAACGATGCTAAATGTTTAAAAGCTGCAATGTATGCCTTTTTCTATGTTAATGCTGAATACTAGTAATTATAATTTGTTGAAATTATTCTGATCCCTTCTCTCCAGTTTCTTTACTATACTATTCTATTTACAAATGTTTGTATATGGAAAGCAGTAATAAATTGCAGGATGAAAATTGTTCTTTATCTTTTCTTCTGTTCCCAAGATGAGTCGATGATGCACAGCACATGTAAAGCCTGTTACTGACGTTTCTGCAGAAAACAATGGGTCACAAATGCCTTTCAAAGAGCCTTATTAGAGCCTCTTTTTATTGAATCTATCACTGCAGTTCACTTCTGCATTTGTATCCTAAAATGTTTGGATAACATTATTAGAAAAATAGTTAATAATAGTTATTCATTATTGTTACTACTGCACCTTGTATACATTTGTATACTTGCTATGTAGCGACTTTAAAAACAATAATGTCAAAATGCTTTACAGTACATAAAATAAAAAACACTCGCATCACAAAGTAACCATTTGAAAGCAAAATCCAAATAACCTTCTTTGTGGAAAAAGTATTTTTACAGGCTGAATTTTAAAGCATGTCGTGCTTATGTGATTTGAATGAAGTTTTTATTGCTATTGTTTTTTTATGACTCATACATCATTAAGACCTTTTACTGTGATATGAGCAACTTAAATCCCAGCTCTAATAGTGCTCATTGCTTTTCATGATATTTTTCTACCAGGCCAGTTCAGACAAAAGACTTCAGCTTGTGATTCATTTGGGCTTTTCCTGTGCTGCACAGACCACCTGAGCCAGGCCTTTAGCCTTAGAAGTACCGCCTTTGATATTTGATGGCAGAACAATAAAACAGAAGTTTGCTGTACGGGTGAATTGTGTATTTCCATCATAAACGCAATAAATCAGTGTGGGATTTTTATGGCATGTCTGCAGCTTTGTAATAATAAAAAGAACCTAAAAATGTTCTGTGCATTTTCTACCAGGACACTGAATCATTACCTGTTTTTCCTTCTTGATTACTATCAATAAATTAAGAGCAAGAGCAGGAAAAAAAAAAAGATTACAACATTGTCCATGTATGTAGTGAAACGAAGGAAGATCATAAAATTAGCTGAGTCGCTGACCTGTTGAGAAACAGACTATAAAAGTGTACTTTTGGCTTTACGAAGGGGGCTTAACTGTGTACAGTTTACAAATCCGACCTTTATTTTTTTTACGTTCAGGTTAAAATTTACCTTTCAGATCTGGAAAGATAAAAGCTTAACCACAGGGAACTGTAGAGAGTTAATTCTGTAGTCATGTGTAGATGAGATCTACATCCAGCACAACCCTTATGCAGTGTCCCCTCAATTATTTAACGCAAGGAGATGGTCTCGCACGTATCCTGAAAGTCTTGTGGGCTTAATTGGCTGCTTCTGTCCTCCCACACTGTCAGGTTAGTGATCCCCGTTGGTGCACTCTGATGTGCTTTTAACATGGCTGCTGGAACAAACATTTGCAATTTGTATCTGCAGAGTACAGAAAGTAATTGCACCTTCTTTTTTTTTTCCTCAAGAGCTAACAATTATGCATAATGTTAGAAAAAAAAAACAAGGCTGGTTCTTTTGATATTGAAATCGACTGCCATCCTGGAATTATATCCATTATTCCTCAGGGTCTCGCATCCTGCGTCTTCCTGATGAGTGGCTGTCCTCAGTCTCCAAGTTGCAGGTGTAATAATTTCTTTCTTCCGTACAGTGCAGAGTTATGAAACCATTGATTGCCATCCTTGGTTTGGAAATGCACATTTCCAGAATCGTATTGCATTTGAGCTATGTTATTACAAAGGGAATGAAGCAATTATTTTCTTATGTCTTGGTAAAATAAATCAAATATTAAAAGTAATAGATCAAACCCATTGGATTGTCTTCAAGTACCTTAAATACCCCCCAACAATATTTTGTCCTACATTTTCCATGGGTTTTCCACTACTCCTGAAAACATACTGTATACAATGGTTATACCCAACAGTGTAAGTGCAGACCCTTTAATATCAATATCAAAATATCAATATACATGCTGTGTTCTCCTAGCATGTAGTTTGAAACAGCTACAGCTTTTTTTCCTATTATGTTGCTGTCATTTTATACCAGTATTTTTCATTTATTTTAGGAAATTCAGGAGATGGAGCACAATTCTCTTTTTTTTATTTTCTTGCCATTTCCTGTATTCTGTAATACAAGGATGTAGGGTTGGCTTGTTTTATGCTAGGTTTGTCAGTTTACATAAAGTTAAAATCTTAATATAAATCTAAATTTGTTAGTTTATCTTTTCTTTTTATGAAGACAGTTGTTGAAAGCTCCGTTGGCATTTAAGGCTTGTGAACAAAGAGGGAATAACTGATTTAATAATACTGATACATGAAGTAATAGGGGGTTTTGAGGGTTTTACATATTTTAACAAACCAAAATCACATTCGATTTTCAGTATAAACAAAGAAACTCACCTTTCAGCCCAGGGTTGCCAAAAGTAAGCACAAATCAACATAGTATGGTGCTCTTTTTCCTCTCCGGTTTTAGTATCTGGTTAAACTGGGTGAATAGTATTAACTACTGATCCCTATCAAACCAATCAGGAAAACAATATGCTTCAATAATAACTACAGTGATTACAGTTCATCATAAACTCATGCAAGTTTTGTTCCCATTAATTAGCTAGTGTTATTAAATGTATTAACTTACACACACTACCAAAAGTCTTACTGCAGCTTCTGCCACCTTCTTCTTGTATATGTGCTTTCCTGGTCTTATGGAAAATTGCAGAGCAACTATGAGCAACTGCATCTCTACTGCTCCTAGGCATCGTGGGATGTTCTTGAAATAGAGTGTCTAAAATGTATCAAACAAGTCTTTCTGCCCATTTTACAATGTTTTAACTCTGCCCTGATTTTTTTTTAAATACAAGGGGTGCAGGGACAAAGTGTTTTTGGATGCCAGTTTAAAAGCAATTTACTAGCCCAGTATGGAAGTGTGCAAGCACCAGACAGTTCTGTTGTCCTTGATAAAAAACCATCAGAAGTCCACCCCCGCCTCAAGCTTGTGGTGTCTTTCAGTTCCAAAGTAACTAATCATTTGGTCGTGTTAAAGCTGGCTCCCTGTAACCTCGGCTGCTGTCAGAATACTCATTTCATGTTCACCAAGCCCTTCAGTGCAATTAGAGGTATATCAGCTTTCTCTGTCTAGCCAGTTCAGCTTTATTAATATACTTAATATTATGTTGAATCTTTTCTCAAATGTCATTAGTTATAGCAAAGACCATGGCAGTAAGAAAAGAATCTTGAGAAGTGGTCTTGAAAAATCCATCTTTTACTTCAGCCAGTCTGGTAATGAATGAGTTATTGACTCTTCTCATTTACCAGATAGGATAATGATACTGATCCTTCAGGTTGTAACGTGTGTATTTGTTAATACATGTATATGTATAGAAACTGCCTCTGTGAGAAACAAGGGCAATATGTAACAATTTTTCACGTGTTTGGAGTCCTTTACAAAATATACTTCAGTAGCAACATAAAATATAAGGAACAAGTAATAGGTTTCTTTCATGCCGAAAAAAATAAGAAAGAAAACAACATTTCGGCTGTGGAGCCGCCGCCTTCTTGTTTTCTTTCTTCTTTTTTTCAGCATGGAATAAACCTATTACTTGTTCCTTTGCAGCCTACGCATGCTGACGCAGCTCCCCACCTGAACATAAAATACATACAGTATTTACAGTAAACACCAAAGACAAAATATGCAAGTTTATTATGATGTAATTTGTACAATTGTCTGTCTGAATCAGGTAAGCATAAAATGCACATAAATCATTTTTCCAGTGCACAATAAGTGTCGCTTTCTATTTTTACAGAACATCTGCGAAAAGGGGTGAAAATACAATGAAAATACAAAAAGTGGGATAATGTTAGTCATTGTAGGACAGTGTTCTTTTCCTTGCATTGGCTTTTTCAAGCATGTTGCAGCCTCCACATTGCAATCTATATAAAGATTCAGGCATTTAAAAGGCAGACTTCCCAGTTCCTCCTAATTAGTTTTGGCAAGATAAATGCTTTGTTTATATGTTCATTTACACTGTGTTGTGGAACATTCATGTTGCTATAAGAGTACAGTTAGGTTGTCAAATATAGCTTTTGTTTTAGTGGAAAAACAGCCAAGGAAAATGTTATTGTTAACTGTCAGCATAATTTTCTCCAAATAAATTCCAGCTTCCATTTTGTTAATTTAATTTCTAAAAGCATGGCATTTAATCCTTCAGTGCTGTCGCAAATCAGTATTTGTGAAGACCGTGCAGACTGACATAATGGGGCATGGACACGCCTTGAAATATTCCTTTGGTAAGGATGATGATTTATCTGACAAGCCGAGCCATGGATTATCGTTAACAATTTACAGATTGTGTGATTAACACACTGAGATAACTTTTCTCAAGAATTCATGCAAAGAAAAATCTTCAGTACAAAGGAAATGTTCCAATAACTGGTTAGTAGGAATAGGCTTAACCTGCTACAAGTGATCATGTTTATATAACCAATTGCTTTCGACTTTGTAACAAAACTAAATGTATTTTTAATGTTTGTATTCTACACAGCCATTCATTGTATACTGTAACTATGGACTCTGAGATCAAAATGAACCGATTTGAACCTTGTATCTTATGTTGACTTGTCAGTTCTCTAGCAAAGAACTGTACAGGTTTAGTTTGATTTGTGTGAAATAAAAAAGCCACTCTTCTACTTCAATCTAGAATTCAATTCTTCTGAAAGATCCTGATCACATTCATCATGTTCCCTGGACTCATACACTGTTCTTCCAGCCTCGCTGTGAGCCATCCTACTGGACACAGGGCTGTCCACCCCAACATCCAGACGGTTCATGGAAACCAGGTGTAATAGAGCCGTGGAGAAAGACTGATATCATCTACCTCTGCTGTTGCCTGTGCTTTGAGTATCTACCTCGTGCTGTGGGCCTTTGTGGACTGGGTGCCGCCCAGCTGCAGCTGGGCTTCACCTCTGCTTGGAGAACAGGTTCCTGAAGGCGTTGTTATAGTTCTTGTTGAAGGCGGTGTAGATGAGGGGGTTGAAGAAGGAGTTGGAGTAGCCGAGCCACAGGAAGATGCTTTTCCAGGTGGGCGGCACGCTGCAGGAGCACAGCGGGCCGACGAGCTCGGTGATGAAGAAGGGGATCCAGCAGAGCACGAAGACCCCGATCAGGATCCCCACCATCAGGGCGGCCTTCCTCTCCTTCTGCTCCCGCCAGCTCTCGCCGTCTGGCTGGAAGGTGATGGCGGCGTGACGCGCCGTGAACACCATCTGGGGCTCACGAGAGGCCTCCTTCACCTTGCCGCCAGGAAGAGGGAGGGAGAGACTGTTAGGGAAGCGGTATTTTGGGGATTGCAGGACCGAATTAAAAATCCCGCCTGTGTTTGGCATTGTGACTAACATTAACCCAGCCTCCAGCAGTTCTTTTTAAGGACTTTTCACATTGCAGTTGTCTTCGATTTTGTTTACTGAGGTGAACACTCCTCACCCCCATCTGTCAGCAAGTATGTTTTATCTACAGAAAACAAACTGTTCTACAGAGTTCTGCCTCATTTCCACGCCACGTACAGTACTCTCGATATTATGCAATCCATTCAAAGCCTGTAGGCTCTTCAGCATAAATAGGCCTTAACCCTTGTACTGTATGTATCACATTATTACAAATTATACTCTTAAGAACACTAATAATGAAGTAGCTTCATGTAATTAAATTATGTACATGGCAGTCCATTTTTAAAAACATTTGTTGACAAGCTGCTTTCAGTACAGTGTTTTAACTGTAATTCGTTTGCTAAAAAGTCTCATGTATTGATAGTGAGAAACATCGATGCTTTTTAAAACATTTTCCCCTTGGCCAAATGTGAAGCAAATGCATTGGATTTCTTTAAGAAGTGTGCACCTTCTAAGTAAAGTTAAAGGAAATTGGACACGTCTGTTTTTCCCGTAGCTTTGTTGTGTCCACGGGGAACCGTTTAAAGATAGGATTGGCGTTCAAACACTGTTTGCGCCTACAGTGGTCACTTTAATTGGCACAAAAACAGAAAGGCTACTTGGTGGCAGAGAAGATGTTTTCCTGGTTGGCAGTGCACATGGATGAAGGAGCAACAGGAAGACTGGATTTCGCAGCATGAAGTTCTTAAGACCTCTGCTTAGTTTCCAGAGAACCAGAGCACAACTGGCATCAGCAGCATGCTATCATCTTAACCAGCACAGCTGAAAGGATATAATCTCACCTCCAGCATGCTGTGATCACTGAGCATTTCCATTTCAAAAGAGCTCTACTGGAGAACAACAATGGACCAAAAAAAAACTATTGTGCAAAAAGGTATTGATACCCATTAAAACCGCCAATGTGTCAGTTTAGACTGAAAGATACTTAAGGTTATTATCATTTTACAAATGAGGATGGAAATTAATATGTGCTGGTCCAATCTATACATATTTTTCTTAAATTTTGCATTCAAATGTAGCCATCAAAAAGCATAAAAAATGTGTCAGTGCATTCAGAATAATGACAGAAAGTAAACAGTTCCTTTTTAAGCGTGGGTATTTGTGTTTGAGAAAAGTTTCATAATTCTGGTGTAGCACAGGCTTCAGAGTTTACAATGTAATATGTTTGCAGTTTTCCAGGCGAGAGGTGAAGCAGCAGAAAAGGAAAGAGGAATGTTGGGATATAAGCAGACAAATGAACTGGAGTGATGTTATGTTAAAATTGTATGATGTAAAACTGAGAGCTCACTTAGACTATTGTGCGGAAGTGTGGTCACCCCAGTACAAAAATATTCCTGCTCTGGAGTCTGCACAGAACAGAGATGAGCAGTCAGGTGCATCCTCAAAAAGAACTGTCTCTTTTCAACCTTGAACAGAGAAAACTATGAGTGCTGATTCAAGCATTCAGTATCCTCAAAGGCCTCGTCACAGTCAGCCCAGTGGAGTACTTCAGAGTGAACGGCAAAACATGACCCAGAGGACAACAACTGAAGCTAGGGGGAAGTGCTTTTTTACACAAAGGAATCTCTTATAAGCTACCCTGGCTTCTTTTAAGAAATGGCTTCCTCAGATTAATTAGCTATTTACTAACAAATGGCCTAGATGGGACAGATACAGTAGCCTTTTCTCATTTCTCAACCTTATATTCTTTTTTTTAGCTTTCTCTGTGTGCCGCTTTTTACAGTAGTTGTGTAGGTTTGAAAGAGGCATTTTTAGCAAGTAAATAAATAAAAGAACAGATACTGTTCAGATACTAGATGATATTGTTAAAATACACAAAATGCTGTACCATTGCATAATTAAATATGAATATAATGACCTTTGTGGATGCAGTACCCATAATTAGAATTAAAGTGTAAAATGCTTTATACCCATTACATTGACTTGTTGCTATGGGGACTCTGCTCTGTGGGTATGAAGGTCTGTTATGGTTCTCCAGACATGCCTGATCACCCTTAAACATGTCATTGAAAGAGGCTGTGAGAAGCCAGACAATTTAATGACAAGCACTCACAGGAGTGTGCCCAATATGAAGCACAAAGTCATGGAAGGCAGAAATACTTCACTTTGATGAGAGCTTAAAATGGAAAGCCCTCTGGTAGCTGAACGCATGGCTGAATGATATCAAGCGTGAAATGTAAAGGGCAAATGATTTACTTCTATTTTTGGGGAATAAAAACAGAGGAGGAGGAAATAGGATGGAGGGGAGAGGGTCAAATTCAAAGAGTGCTTTTATCTAAAGCTGCAGTAATGTGTTCAAGGATACCAGGTTAACACTATGTTAGGGTTGGGAAATGTTAAGTCTACCCAGCCCAGCATTTTTTACACAGTCTGAGACCCATGCCGAAACTCCAGGATGTGGGATTTTGCTGGATCACTCCCACACTGCCACTGACAACCACTTAGGTTTTCTTCAGCCTCTAGAAGATCATTAAATAATAGAACCACTCTGTGAGAACTGAAAACCACAAATGAGCAACGAGTTTTCCTTTGTATGTCGCCCATCACACACCTTACTGTAGTTAATCCAACAGAGTTTACCCCGTATCTGCATACTCGTATGCATGAGCATTACAATCAGATTAGAGTCTCGACTAGTTTATGCAACACACAAGCAGTAATGACTTTGACTTGGCCATACAGGAACAACTTCAGCATTATCATTATGATACTGTACATGTTCTTGTATAGATACAGTATACTAGACTTTTGCCTGCTTTGAGGTGCTTTATACTGTATAGTGGGCTATCATTATAATTAACTCAATTGAGCTCTGCATATTTAAGGTATTCTGGTAAAAAAAAACTATGCGCTTTACGTCAGACAGACTGAATTTGTCACACCCATCTAAACCGGGGTCTTTACTTTGCATCACTATGGCTGTAACAGAAAAAAACATTAGATAGATCAACTGTTTATAATGGTCAACACATTTTAAAAAAGAGTGATATAACAGCCCGACACCCATGTCTATAAAGACCATCACGTGCTGAGTCAATCAGCCTACAGGAGTTCTGTTCTAATGGCAAATTGATATCCATTATTTACTGAGTGGGTCTGCCTTAGATAACTGATTCTGTGAAGAGAACAGTACATGTTTAGCATCCGACTAGATGGAAAGTGTTTGCCTTTTCCTTTTTTACACAAAAATTGAATCTGTATTTACTGTCATTTAATGTTTGCCATTGGGTGGCACGCTAGGGTTCAAATCCAGAGCTGTGGTGTTCTCTCCTTGTTTGAGTGGGTCCCCTCTGGGTGCTCTGGCTTCCTCCCACAGTCCAAAACCAGGCTGGTAATTTAAACAGCTTCTGGTGTGAGAGTGTGTGTGTGTTTGTGTCTGTGTGCCCTGGGATGGACTGGTGTCCCATCTAGGGGGTTCTCTGCCTGGCTACTTGCCAGAAAAGGCTCCACAGCAACCCTGAACTGAACGAACCGGTTAGGAGAAAAGATAGATGGATAATGTTTACACTTGCCTACTAATGAGAGAATTCTTTTCGTGCCCCACGCTAAACAAGACTGAATCAACATGCTTGGGATGACATTCGTTCTTGTGCTTCTTTCCAACACGTAACATTAACCGCAGGGACGTGTAAGGACAGGACACACAAACCTGGTATAGTCTTACCTGAACCACACCAGACAAAGGCATGACGGCGTTCCTCTTGCGGCTCCCAATCCTGAATTTCGCCGCTTTGTAAATCTTCCAGTACACGAAGAGCACCACCGAGAGGGGCAGGTAGAACGCCCCGCAAGTGGAGAAGATCGCATAGGAAGGCTCCTGGCTCACCTGACAGCTTTCGTCGTCGGCCGTGTACGTCTCTCCCCACCCAAAGAGGGGGGACAGAGAAATCACCGCTGACAGGAGCCACGTCAGGGCTATCATGACGTTGGAGATTTTTTTCCTCGTCTTCAGGGTGTACTCCAGGTGCCTGGTGATGGACCAGTACCTGTCCAGGGCGATTGCGGTCACGTTCCAGATGCTGGCCGTGCAGCAGAGCACGTCGAAGGAAACCCACACGTCGCACAGAAGCCGGCCCAGACGCCATCTCCTCCCCGAGAGCTCGTTGACGAGGCTGAGGGGCATCACCAGGGCCGCCACCATGACGTCCGACACCGCCATCGAAGCCACCAGGTTGTGAGGCACCCTGTGGAAAGTCTTCACCCTCAGGATTGTAACCAGCACCAACAGGTTCCACAGAAAAGTAGCAATGATCAAGATGACTAACAAAGTCACAATGAGGATGCTGAAGATGGTGAAGGGATATCTTTTAACGAGGTTTGCACCCGTGCTCCCGTTCTCCCACGCTGTCAGATTAAAGTTACTGTCCATCATGGATGTCTATGTGCAGTCCCGTACACATGCGTGACCGCCTCTAGGAATCGTCCAGCACCACTTACCTTATCGTTAGTAACTTCATCACAGACATTACAGGGCTCAACATTATTGTAGCGCCTGAGCTCAAAAACATTTGTAAATTATTTGTTCGCAGAATGCTTTGTTGGTCCTTGAATAAATCCTAAGAAGTAAGAGCTGGATTGTTACTGAGCATTTTCATCTCCTTTCAGCAGTGAGCTTCTGATTCTCCGGATCAGCGGCTGCACGACACCTTGCACAGACACGCTCTTCTTCCCGCGTTTCAAAGTCTTTTTTATGAGATAGGATGCATCTTTGCCGAGAGGAGAGCGGACAACATCCTCCCCTAATGGAAATCCGGGCGAAGTAGCCAACAGTTTGCAATATGAAAAGAGCTTTTACGCAAGTTTCGTGACCACCTATGAGAGACCTTTCACTCTGACACATCGAGCGAAGCAGCGCTGCTCTGATCATTGAGCTCGTATCACCGAGCCTGTAGTCAAACACACCAGCCCCGCTGCCGAATTAGTAAAACATTAAAATAATCTATTATTCTCCTGACGGAACTCTGCGCGCTTTTTTTCAAACCGTACCAGGAAAGACTCGCCAGGTGTTTGAAGTCTCCGTGGAACCAGCAGAAATCAAGCGGTAATATTAAACTAAAGAGAATTTCTTAAACTGCACCAGGTTAGGGCAAAAGAGCAAGTACCAATGCACCTCAACACCTCAAGCGGTTTCCACTTGTTACATCTTTAACTAATATTAATAAAACGAGTTTTCACGATCCCTTTTAATTAAACGGTGAATTTTAATGCAAACACGCAGTTAGATTTCCGAGTCGCTCCGGTGTTCAGTCCGCGTCGATTACTTTGGTAACAATCTCACCTCCGCTAGCATGAATAACGGCCGTGCATGTTTATAACAAACATTTAATGCAATTTTACCGTTCTTTCCGAAAATCCCATCGATGATTCAATGAAAGCGTCTTGCAGTTATTGGGTTTTAGTCCTGATGTCCAGCACCGCGCCTGCTCTAGTCTGGAGTTGGGTTAGAACCAACACGGGCAACGTCAGGAGTAAAAGCAATAAAGGGAACTTCGATTTACACTTAAATTATTAGGAAAACTACCCACGAACGTGTTTTAATGCTGATAAGCAATGCGTATTGCGTGGCGCTTCAGGGAGTTATCTAGCTTCACAAAAGGCAACTATCAACTTGAAGGAAAATGTATTTTTAGACTATATAGTCTTAGTATATCAAATCACTTTTGCGTTGCAAACATCTGATATAATCTCAGCACACAATGCTTCTTTCAGAAGTGCGAATGCACTAATAAAAAATTACAAGTTCTCTTTGACCTGATTCTCCTTTTCGAACCCTCCCATTTCCCTCTTCGCCCAAACAGCAAGATGAAACCGCCAGTCATGAATGCACTGACCTAGACGTCTTGAACCACAGCAGCAGCGGCGAGAGTATTGAGCTTTCAATTGGATCGGTTTAAATAGTTTTTCCCCCCCATCTAAATGCTTTAAAAAAACATTTACTGCGGTAATTCGTTATCACGCAAATAACACTTGGTGGAAACATTTCTTTCCTTTGTCGTTTGTTATAGGCACTAATCAAGCTTTTACCCTGACTCGTTCATCTTAAAGGTACAACAGAAAAAAAAAAATTGGCATTAGAATCCATCACCTTTTTTTCCCTGACAATGAAGAGGGGATCTGATGGCGTCTGCTCAGCAATCAGTAATTCATCTGACTCTAGAAACCTAATCACACGTATAGTTTCTGCCTAGAGTTGCTTTTTTATCCATCCATCAGTTGTTCAAGACCCACTTAGTCCAATATAGGGTCATGGACAGACACTAACCCCTGGGGTCACACACGTAAACAGGAGACAATGTACAGATGCCAATCCACCAGAATGGCACGTCTTTGGACTGTGGGAGAGAACAGTGAGCACCTAGAGACAACCCAAATGGACAACATGCAAACTCCACAGACAGTACCCCAGTATGAAACTGTTGAATCCAGGACACAATCGCTGCGAGACTGCTACACAGTTGCAGGCAGACTGCTAATACCACTCCTGCGTTAATACAGACAGTATTTATAATATCCTTGAAAGATTAGGATAAATACACCACTGCCTGAAAAATAAGATAAATGCTAAATAACTACAGCACAAGAGGATAGGAGGCCTTTTCACTTCTCCTCCATAAGGGTTTTGTAATATGGACAGAAAATCAGCTTGTTATACCTTAAACTGTAACAGCACTCTAAAATACTATGATCACAGTATGAAAACAATCAGAAAAGTTTTGGAGTCACAGATTTCCATGTTTAAATAAGTTGGATATATTGTCATTGCTTTCAGACACCCATATTGACTTAAAAAAAAAGTGAAAGTTTGTCAAATTACAGGATATAAAAGCAGGTCATATATAAAATGCAAATTAAACTTGAGAATCAGAAAGACTTCGGAAGTTGAAGTTCTTGAGGCTGAAACTTTCCTACAACTTCAAAATAAGGTACACAGTCTGACTAATGTATGAATTACAGGACTCGGTCATCTATTTTTCGTTCTTTCTCCAAGAGTGAAACAGCTAAATCGGGTATTATTTAAAGGATCACATGAACAGGCATCAATGGCACATCCAATTAACACATCGGGAAGAAAACAGGGAATGCTGACAATTTTCAGAAAGGGGAGGGAGGAGTTCGTAAGCAGAGCAGACGCGCGCGCAAACGTTTAAAAGACGACAAGCAGCATCTGTCCCCAATGCAGGTTTTTTAACTTCTTTAAAACGCCCTTAGTAGAAGGAACAAAGCCCTCAGCGGGAAAACTGCCTCTTGTCGGCTCCGGCTTTGCTGACGTGTTTGAAGATCTTCGATTTGTAGACGTTCTTCGACTTCTGATACCCGAACCCCCCGCCGCCGCCTCGCTTCTGCATCTTGACCCCTCTGCTGCTGTTGACGTCTGATAAACAGTCGTGGTCAAGGACAAGAACCAACACAGAGTGTTTAAACAAAAGGAGAGACCCATTAGTAATCTCAGTATGCACTCTGGTTTGCTCCACTTCAATGCATGCGTGTACTACTACCACTACTCGCAGCAATAGTTAAGGCCACCCCATAAGCAAACAGATCGGTTTTAAAACTTGCAGAAAAGATGACTGATAAACCAATGTCTAATGGCATTAGTTGAGCCCCCTCAGCAACACAGGGCCTTAAGTTCCTGTTAGCAGGGAAGAACATGCTGGCATAGCAACCTGACAGGGGGACAGAGATGCAGAGTCAGAACTACCATGTATGTTTTTTTTCCCCCTCAAAGAGGACCTTTAAGCTTTTTTAAATGTAAAAAAAAATAACAGCAAAAACTCTGCAGCAGTAAATAAAATTGCCATTGTCTTAGTGCAAAGCAGAGAGGATTCAAATTCAGTCCCTTTTGCATTTCATTTTGGGATGCTAATGTTGTAGATACGGCAATTAGTATTAATTATACTGGGTTTGACTCAGTATCTTTATTATAATGGTATATTTTCCAAATTAAAGAGGTACTGCTGGATATAAAATACCTGTTATTCATCAGCTAATCTAAAAAAGTGTTTTTTCAGACTTTTCCCACTTACCTGAATATATATTTTTCCCCTCAATCCTATGAAGTTGCATGCAAACTTTATTTCAAGAAATGGCTCAATGAGAACCTCAGATCAATTAACTACTAAATACCAAATGATCTAGATGGGCAAAATGGCCACCCCTTGTTTTTAATTGTTCTTCTGTGTGCATTAATAATTGTCAAGTTAAATTATTTTGTACAATTTATTCAGTAGCAGTGAGAATTTTAAGCAAAGGTGCACTTAATGTCTTTTTTCTATTCAGCTGTCAAACCAGCAATTATTCTTTAAATCAAGGACAGATGCGTTATTGTATGAATTGTACTAGACTTTTGTCTATTTTATATTTATATTGATTTAACAGATATTCATGCATGTTGGAAAAAGATACTTCAAAAAGTACAACTCACAAAACAGAAAAAACTTTCTGCTGTGAAGCCATTACTTTAAAAATACTGATCATTTATAGGGGTACTTTTTATGTCATAAATAAGATTCAATAAATCTCTTACTGCAAATCAATAAATTAATAAAATAACTGAGAACAGACTGTAGCAAAAGCATATGTGTCCAGTTTAAGACTGGATGGGATTTAAAAGATTTTTGTTCTGTATATAAAGTAACCAGTTATATATCACTCTCCCACTCAAATCTTGAGATTGTTTACCGTTTCTTCCACATGAACAACTTAGCAATTTTTTGTAGTCATTAAGTGTCATCAATAATGCTTCCCTTAAATATTAATTTTCCCGTATAAGGACAATCCAACTATGCCTCTCAAAATGTCCTATTTACCATATGATGTTTCTTTACTGAATTCACTCACTAAATACAAATTTAGAACCGCAACAACTCAATTTCTATTGCTACAGGCACTTTTGTATTATAGTTCTACTGTGTTTCTCTTGTTTAAGAACAGCACTACACCTGGTACAACAGGTTCCTGGAATGCAGGTCTTTTTGTTGGCCTAGCATGAGCTGGGGTACAGCAGCAGTGGGAGGGAGCAATTGCTAATGTCTGAAGGGAAAGGATACTGAGATCCACGTAGGGCGGCACTTTGAATCCAAAGGAAAGAGCCACTTTCTGCAGGTCCAGAGTGTTGACGCTGTAGATCTGTTTCAGGGAGTGGGAGTCATACGCACGGACATAAGCTTTATAAGCTTCCTGGGCTGATTTGTGCAGATAGTAGTTTTTCTCAATCAGTTTCTCAAGCTGCAAGA